TAGGAAGATTGGACCCCCCCGAAGGAAGTCTACCTTCAAAAAAGAGGCGGTTGAAACAATTAGCTTACAAAAGGGGTGACCAGATGAATGGGATAATGAGGATGAATGGTCCGATGACAACCCACTGTTATGTTGGGGAACGAATAAAGGTCCGACCACACGCCTTGCTCGAGGGTTGGTGAAATCTAGCGACTAGGAGAAAAAAAAAACTGAGTAACTTCTGAAGTTCCGCTGCTTGGGGGCAAGGATGTAGCTGGTACTTCTCAGATTGGAGGGATGAGAGCCGCGGGCGCTCCACCTACACCTGGTGAGAGTTTCTCGTCCTTTCTCTGGTCTGAGTTGGCCTACTCCTTGGAATGAGGACTCTGTCCTTTTGATCTACTCTGAATGATCTAGAAAAAACTCATGTTTCGTCTAGCTTCATCTTTGTTTGTGTAGATGATCAAATATTCATTTTTTACTTGTTAGAAGATGTCGGTGACCGTGTCTCCACCCCTTGGATGGTTGTAGGGAACCCACCGACTACCATTGAAAGAGAGTTGATTGACTATGTGATTCGTCGTATAGAAAAGACGACATATTTCCTGATCTGTGAGGCCGAGGCTCGGAAGGAAGCTGAAGTTTAGCAGGAGGCAAGCAAAAGATAGCTGAAGGACCACCTAGATACCCTCTTTGAGAAGTAGTCAACAGAGCTTCTCAACCTCCAAATAGAAGCAAAAGACCACTGGATCAAAATAATAAGATGAACAACCATGACCTTGTGGATGGATCAGACTGATGTAAAGGAGGCTTGCTCAGTCACTTTGTTTCAGGCCAAGGCTGATAACATGATAAGTTTAAATTAGGGGGTCAAGTTTTGTATAAAGAGTTTCTAAGTCAAGGGATGGTTTTTCCAACCGATGAGCCGGTTGTAAAGTTTTTTCTGTGTTTAAATAAATATATTTTTCCTTTTTCTTTTTCCTCTCTTTTATTGAATTACTGCTTTTTATTTAAGTAACTATTCATTTCTTTCTCTGAATGAAATGACACGAAGCTTTTGTTCCTAAGGTACTGGCAGCAACATTTCAGCTTCTCTGTGTCTCATATATATAAGAGTTGATGCTCTCTCATGTTGTTTCATTTTCTACCTTCCTTACTTTTGGTCATCCTTCCTTCCTCGTTCCTTTGTCACCCAACCCTATGCCCTCCAAATACTTTTCTAGTGTCTCCTCAACCAGCTCTAGTGTTAGATGTAAGTCACTGAGTGTTCTTTCTTGATTTTATCACCTAATTAGCCCTCAATTTTGATGCAAGTCACTGAGTGTTGTTACTGTTCTAATCAACCTTCTACCTTCTAGAATTGATAAAGGAATGTTCAGTGACTTACATTAAAATCCACACACTCCTTTTTATTTTACTTAGGTTTGGAACATGCTCGATGGGCATCTTTCCTAGTATCTCCTTTATCAACTCTCAAGTTAGAAGGAATTCATCGAACATTCTTTCTAGATCTAATCACCCAACATGCTCTCAAGTTTGATGTAAGTCACTGAACATTCCGTAGTATCTCCTTTATCAACTCTCAAGTTAGAAGGAAGTCATCGAACATTCTTTCTAGATCTAATCACCCAACTTGCTCTCAAGTTTGATGTAAGTCACTGAACATTCTTGATCTATTCAGCCTTATACCTCATAGGATTGATGTAAGTCATCAAACATTCTTTTATGGTGTAGCCAGTGTACTCCTCCTTTCAGTTTCACTTGGGTTTGGAACATGCCTGATGGACACAATTCCTAGTGAATCTTCGATCAACTCTCACTTTAAATCTAATTCATCAAGAATTAATTCGTGATTTAATCATTTGACTAGCTTTTAAGTTTGATGTAAGTCACTAAACATTTTTTTTATCTTATCATCCCTCTACCTCCTAAGATTAATCTAAGTCACTGAATGTTCTTTCCTAGTGTAGTCGGTGCCTTCCTCCTTTTGGATTCACTTAGAATTGGATCATGCTTGATGGACACTTTTTCTAGTGTCTCCTTGATCAGCTCTCACAATAGATGTGAGTCCACGAGCTTTTCTTCTTGATATAATCACCTTGTTTACCATATGATAGATATGATTTCTCGAGTTTTCATTGTTAGTGTAATCAATTTCCTTTCCTCAATCACCTCCAGGTTAGGTGCAAGTCCCCACGAGGCGTCCTCTCTTCTTTCATTAAGATGGGTGTGAGTTTTCTTAGTGTGCCCTTTTATGCCATTTTCATAGTAGGTATTAGTCCTTTCACAATTTCCTTTTCTAACAATCATAAATCTAAAGTTGTAGCTACTATTTGCTTAAATCCCCTGTATGAGTATTGAAAGGTTCGATTTGTGTGAACCAAAAGACTCGCAAATCATAAATCGATGCATCTAATTGAAGTTCTAATCTTCAATCTTCAATCAAATTCATCAAATATCTATTTTCAAATTCAAATCTCAAACTTATGCCCAAACCCAAATCCTCGAGTAACAATACTCCA